TCTGGAAATACTCTGTATCTTGATCATGACTGTGTTCATTTCGACAAAACTCATAGAGCTGTACACTAACACGGGTAAACTTTACTGCACCTAAGTTATACCTTAATTTTCATTGTAATTTTTTAAAGCTTCTGCAAATTTGCTGGCCAAAATGGAGCTGCCACGGTTTTCATGCATCAGAAATCGAGAACAATGGACTAGGAACTCAAAAGTAGATAACTCGCTGCCCTGGCCTAGTAGCTCAGTTGGTTAGAGCATCATCCCAATATGCCAAGGGTGCAGGCTTAATCCCTGCTCAGGGCACATACAAGAAGTAATGAATGAATAAATAAATAGAACAACAAATCAATGTTTTTCTCTCCCTTCTATTCTCTCTCTCTCTCTCTCTCTCTCTCTCTCTCTCTCTCTCAATAAATAAAACCAAAAATAAGAAAGTAGGGATCTTGAGAGAGCAAAGGGGCTTTGCAGCGTGGGCCCTGTGAGTAAGCTGTGGTTTTGCTGGGTGCCAAGGATGAGCCGCTGAAGACCGCCAAGGGAACGCTGCCGGGGCTCCTGGCCTGCTGTGCTGAGCTGATTAGATGCAGAATGGACTGATCAGTGTTGACAGCGAGCTATTTACCCATCTAGTGAATTATGCCAACTAATTTCCAACCTAATCGCATGTCTCAGGTCACTGGTCATGAGTCTATACCCGTGGTCGGCAAACTGCGACTCGCGAGCCACATGAGGCTCTTTGGCCCCTTGAGTGTGGCTCTTCCTAAGCCTTAGGAGTACCCTAAATAAGTTAATAACAATGTACCTACCTATACAGTTTAAGTTTAAAAAATTTGGCTCTCAAAAGAAATTTCAATCGTTGTACTGTTGATATTTGGCTCTGTTGACTAATGAGTTTGCCGACCACGGGTCTATACCATTTTCATGCCGCTGCAGGCCTTGGTGGGGCAGTGGTAGGGAGAGGGTGGCAGCTGCCCCATAAGGCCAAACAGGCACCCTGCTCCTCCAGGCTCCTGGGCCCGCAGCCCAGGCTCTCAGTGTGGCTGCCCCCAGACAACCTGTGGAATCCCATGTGTGTACATTCTACCTGGGTTAGCTGGCCTCTGCCCCAGCTCTTCACCCAACAAGCATTGATCGAATGCCTACTACCTGCCAGTTCCAAATTGGGCCAGGCACTGGGGTGGTGGTGCCAAAAGCTAAGTCATGACTTGCCTGACCTCCTACCCCGTACGCCAAATTGCTCACAGTCTAAGGAGGAGATTCTCACTTAAACCAGCAGATGGAAGTGAAGGCTTTGGAGGCAAATCCAATCCAGGCTCTGCTATTGGGTCCCAGAGGATTGTATTTCACCTCCCTCTGTCTCAGTTTCCTCACCTACAAACACGTTGCAGAGCTGATAGGATGCAGTGTGTACGTAAGGTGACTATCCACTCCCTCCCTGGTCCCCAGTGCTGTCCTCTCCCCTAGAACGTCTCATAGTCTGGATTGGCCTGATTGGCTCCTCCTTCTGGGGTCACTTGAAAAACACTTTAAAGAAACAGTCAATGCCCAGCTGGCGTGGCTCAGTGGTTGAGCGTCAACCTATAAACCAGGAGATCACTGGTTCAATTCCCAGTCAGGGCACAAATTCAGGTTGCGGGTTTGACCCCCAGGGTGGAGCGTGCGAGGCAGCCAGTCAATAATTCTCTCTCATCATTGATGTTTCTATCTCTCTTTTCTTCTCCCTTCCTCTCTGAAATAAATTTAAAAATTTTTAAAAATATTTAAAAAAACGAAACAGTAAAAATCCAGGTTGTGCACCTTTGGCAGGAATATCCCAGAAGTGATGGCGTGCTCTTCTCGCCGCATCCTGTCAGGTGGCTCAAGCTTTGGTTCTACTTGTCCCATTATTGAGAAGGACCACTGTGATCGCTTGATTAGGGTGGGGTCTGACAGGCTTCTCAGTTGTAAAGTTTCAACTAGATCAACTATGTAAAAGGCTCAGAAAAATATTGTGCTGTCTTAGGCTAAAGAGTGGAGCAGGGGATAGAGTGTCAGCCTGAGGACTGAAGGGTCCCAGGTTCGATTCCAGTTGAGGGCGCATGCCTGGGTTGCGGGCTCGATCCCCAGTAGGGGGCGTGCAGGAGGCAGCTGATCAATGATTCTCTCATCATTGATGTTTCTTTCTCTCTCCCTCTCCCTTCCTCTCTGAAATCAATAAAAATATATTACAAATAAAAAGAGTGGAGCAGAAATGGGGCAAGGCCTTCTCCCGTAGGTCTCATGCCCTTTAGGGTTCATCCCGTGACAGAGGCAGAAGGTCCGGTGGTTAACAGGTGGACCCTGGGACCAGACCACTCACATGTGGCGCCTGGCACTGCACTTCCAGGCCAGGTGACCTTGGGCAAGCTCAGTAGGTAACCTCTGTGTTTCAGTTTCCTTCATCCATGAGAGATGGGAATAGCACTGACTCCTAGGGCTGCTAGGAGGATCGAGTGAGTTACCACGCACGGCACTTAGAAGAGCACCTGGTACACTGGACGTGTTCCATAGATGTTAGCTGTGACCATATGGACAGAGAAAAGCGAAGCTCCGTGAGCTTAGCTACCCAAGGTCACCTAGTATCATCGGCACAATGAACCTGGCTGTGCCGATTCCGAAGGCACAGACGCTTTCTGCTGCTGTGCACGCTGGGAATGAAACGCAGGGCGAGGAGGCCGTGCACCCATAACTAGCGCGAGACTGACCGAGATGAGTGCTACCAGCCCCTTCAGGCGCAGAGGAGGAGCAAGTCCAGCTGCTTGGGGCTTGTCAAGAAAGGCTCCCTTGCATAGGTGGGAATCAAGACAGACCTTGAACGCTGAGAAAGATTCGAAGAAGTTGTCCAGGTGGAGGCACGGATTTCCTGATGAGGGGAGGGGCTGATAAAGGCAGGGGCTGGACGGACCTCCCACAGGGGTGAGGGTCAGTTGTCCCCTACGCCAGGGTTCCTCCAGGGTTCCTCGGCCTCAACACTATTGACCTTGGGCCAGAGAGTTCTTATTGTCAGCTGTCAGTAGCATCACCCCACCCCCAAGTTGCCACAACCAAAGATGTCTCCAGACATTGCCAGATGCCCCCTGGGTGGGAGGATCCAAATCCCCGCCCCATTGAGAACCATTGTCCTAATAAAAGAAGCCCGGAAGTAACTCATAGGAGCCTGGCTTCTCATAGGCTTTTCATTCTTTCCCTCGTTGTCAGATGTCCTCAGGCCACAGGACAGAGAAGTAGGCCTTTCGAAATCCTCAGTTGCTGTAACAGACGGCTCTTTGATAAGGATGTCTCCGTGTAGGAAGGTGTGTCTCCACAGCTGGCCAGCCTTCCTGGTCCAGAAATGCAACCCCAGGTGGGGGGATTTATCCCAGCCAGTGGACCAGCAAGAATGATGGCACTTCACAGGGCTGGGGCTGCAGAGGGGCGGAGATGGGGACAACAATGATGACAATCACTGGCCAGCGGTGTGACCGTCACTTTCCCTTTCTGGGCTGCAGTTTACCCATCAGTAAGCTGGAGCACTTGATGTACATCCAAGCCCTAGCTGGTTTGGCTCAGTGGATAGAGCGTCAGCCTGTGGACCGAAGGGTCCAGGGTTCGATTCTGATCAAGGACACGTACCTTGGTTGGGTTGCAGGCTCCTCCCTGGCCCAGGCCCTCCCTGGTCAGGGCACATGCAGGAGGCAACCAATTGATGTATTTCTCTCACATCCATATTTCTGTCTTTCCCTCTCTCTTCCACTCTAAAAATCAATGGATGAGGACTCCAGTTTGAGTTCTCTAACGAGCAGTGAGGGAATAGTTCCCAGCTCCCAAGGAAAGAGTTCTGTGATCAACTAGTAATGTCTGCCAGGAGCGCAGGAGTGGGGGGATTGGGTGTGACAGCACAGAGAGTGTATTTGCTGTCTATTCCAAAGGACTCAACCAGAGTCTTGGCATGGCACTGAGGAGGCCACAGGGGGAGAGAGCTGATTAGATCTGTCCTCTTCAAGGTTCCAGGGATTGTGATGAGGAGGTAAAATGGAATAAAGGAAGGGTTACTCAGGGTTGTGAATTGAATTCCTTCAAATATCCTTCAAAAGAGGAGAAAAACTTCTTTTAAAATTCCTTTTCTCTTCTTTGGGCCGTGCTTTTGAAAATGCTGCTCTACCACTGGACTGAGCCACTTGGACCACAGCTCTGAGGAGTTACAGATGCTTCTAGCAAGTTTCCTCAAAAGAGTAGCCCTGCCACCGAGGGGACTCTGGCTCCTGCTATACTAGTCGATTGAAGGCCACGCAATCCTGGGCTTCTGGCACAGTTCTCTTGGCAGATATTGGCAGTGCCCTGCTGGCACCCCATTGGCGCTCGCTGCTCCCAGTCTCCTCCTGTGCGCACTTGTGCCTGCCTGAAGGCCTTCTCTGGCACCACAGCTGTGCTGGCGAGCACACAGGGCGGCCAGCGGTGTGGGGAACTAGTGTGGCCCTGGGAGCAGCCTGTGACCGCTGACAAGTGGGGGTTGGAAGGAAAATTCTGCAGCTTTCTCGCCCTTTGGGTAGGAATCATCTGAGATGTGTTCTGTGACCAGGACAATCACAATGCGGAGAGAGCTGGGGAGAAGAGCTTTTGCAGAGCAACGGGAGGACCGGGAGCTGGGGTGTCACCAGGAGAGAGGGGGAGCACTGGCGTGTGCCCAGCTTCCCGGCTCACCGGGTGGGAAGGCGGGTCTGGGGGGCAGCATGTGCCCCGCCGGGAGATCCTGGTCTTTGAATCCTGGGTGTTGAACTGAGGAGCACAGTAGGGGCCCGCAGAGGTGATGGGCTGGAAGAGGCTCCGGCTTTGGAACAGGACCCGAGGGTCTCCGGGAGATTGTGCAACAAGCAAGCGGGAAACCGGCTCACCGTGCCGCTGCGCTGGGAGGAGGGAGTCTCCCAGGCTGAGTGCCAGGGCGTGATGGAGCAGCGCCCCTGGCCGGGGGCGGGCGGGGCAGGTGTCGCTGAGAGATGAGCCCCGCCCGTGCGGCTGGTGCTCTCTCCAGGTGAGCATTGCTCAGAACAGCGGGAAATGACTGCTGGGAGCGGGCGTGAGGTGGCAGGCAGCCCCAGACGCTGGCGCACAGCAGTCCCGGGAGCTGGGTGTTAGGAGCTCCACTCCCCGCCGTGGACATCAGGAGCAGCTGGAGTGCTGCTTCCCAGCCACCACCAGAGTCAGGGCAGCATGAGCCGGGCAAGGCACGTGGGCAAGATCCGGAGACGCCTGGAGGATGTCAAGAGCCAGTGGGTCCGGCTGGCCAGGGCCGACTTCAGCGACCACGAGAGCGCCCGGCTGGCCACAGATGCCCTCCTGGATGGCGGGCCCGAGGCCTACCGGCAGGTGCTCAGCCAGGAAGGTGAGGTGGACTTCTTGTCCTCCGCGGAGACCCAGTATATCCAGGCCCAGGCCAAGGAGCCCCCCTGTACCCCGGACACCCCGGGAGGGGCCGAGGCCAGGACCAAGGGCCTGGACTCCTGCTCCCTGCAGTCAGGGACCTACTACCCTGTGGCCTCGGAGGACAGCGAGCCGGCCCTGCTGCACACCTGGGCCTCGGCCGAGAAGCCCTACCTGAAGGAACGGTCCAGCACCACCGTGTACTTCCAGACAGACAAGCACAGCAACATCAGGGACCTCATCCGCCGCTGCATCACCCGCACCAGCCAGGTAGCGATAGCCGAGCCTGGCTCCTTGGCCGGGGCGGGCGGGGAGGGACAGGGCCTGGTGGAGGAGGCAGAGGGGTGCGTCCCGCCCTAAGGGATGGAGTCAGGGATGCCACCCCTGCCTTACTGGGATCACTGACTTCCTGAACCCATCTGCCACAGCCTGGGCCCCAGGCGCCACCTCATCACTGAGCTCCTGCAATAGTCCTGCCCGGACCTCGGCTTCCCTCCCCGTCCCCACCCAGGCTCCGTGCTGCTGTAGACACTTTTCTGCACCTCAGCTCTAACCTGGCCCCCTTTCTGACCGACCACCAGTGGAGGCAGGCGCTGCATGCACACTTGTGTGCAGACAGGTCTAGGCCAGTCAGAGAGGACGAGGGACCAGCATGTGCCCTGTGGAGTGGCTCCTTCCTCTGGAAGCACGGAGGCGAGGGCCTGGCTCAGCCTGGGAATTCAGGAGAGGTTTCCGGAAAGAGAGGCTTCGGGGCTGGTCCTGAGGAGGTGTAGGCGCTAGTCAGGCACAAAGCAGGGAAGGTGAGGGGGCCCAGGCAGAGGGATCAGCACAGGGAAGGCCTCAACACGGAGCATGATGGGCTTGAGAGGCTGCCCGTCACTCAGTGTTGAGTGGCAGGAGGTGGGACAGGACCTGGGAGGTCGTGAGCCGTGCTAAGGAGTTTGCTCTCCCCACTGTGGGCAGTTGGGAGCAATTGGAGGCTCTGAGCTGGGATCACAGCCCACTTGCAGTGACAGCCTGTAGCTGGGGGTCCAGCCCCTCTGGCATCTCTGTGGGAGCAGCCCATTCATCCTTAAGCCCGTGTGTGTGTGTGTGTGTGTGTGTGTGTGTGTGTGTGTAGATCACAAACTCTGCCTGCAAAGGCCTGACAGGCAACAAAATGGGTGAAGTTCGTGGGAGCCTGGGGCAAGAGGGAGTGGTGGGGTCTGCGGCAAAGAAGGTGGCACCAACTCAGCACCAACAGAGCCAGTCTTCCTACCTGCTAAGAGGAGCTGAAAAGTCTTACTTTTAGGTGAAATCTTCTGATCCGTGTTGTTTTAAATTCCTAACGGGCTGTGCTGGTGAAAGAAAGGACATTAGCAGTCCTCAGGCCACAGAGGCAGGAGGGGAAGCCTTGCTGGGTGGGAAAGGGGGAAGGAGAGGGACTCGGCCAGGGGATTATGCTTCACAAGCCCTAACCTGGCTTCTTTCCAGGGGGTGTTGCTCACCCTGTGAGCGGCAGCTTCAGTTAAGAATCCCCACCAGTGGTGCCCACCCCTGCGGGAGCACTGAGCTCATGCACAGGGACCAGAGCCAGCACACTGAGGAAACGGGCCCTGGGTGCTGGAGGGACCCTCGTCCAGCGTGGGATCCGAGGCCTGGGGAGGTGAGGGACTGGCCCAGGTCACACAGCCAGTGCCACCACAGCCCACACTTCTTGGCTGCCTGCCTGGGACCATCTGCCAAACCCTTATTGGCCGCTTGTCACGGAACTTGAGATACTGCTCGGAAGCAGCCCAGTAACATGAAAAGCTGGTGCCCCCACCCATTGTTCCCTTCAATTTAAATTTTCCAGAACTCCGCTCCCTCCCTCCTGCCCACCCCCACACAGCCTGCCCACCCCCACACAGCCTGCCCACCCCCACACAGGCTGCCCACCCCCCACACAGCCTCCCCACCCCCACACAGCCTGCCCACCTCCACACAGCCTGCCCACTCCCCACACAGCCTCCCCACCCCCACACAGCCTCCCCACCCCCCACACAGCCTGTCCACCCCCCACACAGCCTGCCCACCCCTGGGCCTTTTCCTGGAGCCTTTGGATTTCACACAGCATTAAACTTGGAACCCCAACAAAAACGTGAGCTTAAATATCAGCCCATTCTTTTTTGAGTTCTTTTCAGCGTAACCCAAATTTAACTTCTAAGTGATCGGAGACAGAGGGAGAACGTTTGCAGGTGACACATTTCTTCCCTTGGAGTCCATTCTCGCCCCTCTGGGCTTTGGGAGGGCGCAGTGGGCATCTACAGCCTGTGCTTGAGAGTCACCTTGTGCACCTGGGGCAGGAGGAGCCTCAGCTGACAGTGGCAGCCACTATGGCCCGGATCTAGGACACAGAACTGGCCACATGCCAGCAGGGTGCCTGCCATTCTGTCAGCCAAGCCAGGATGGCAGAGCACACGGAGCCTCCTTCCCTTTGGGGAGCTCAGCTGCCCCAGGAGGAAGGAGAGGAGAGGAGAACGGGGTTGGGGTGGGGGGTGAGGAATCCATTGGTGGGTGGCAGCCTGAGCTTGAGCAACCTCTGTGCCTGGAAGTAGACAGGAAGGTGACTAAGGCAGGCTTCACGAAGAGGTGGCCTCTGAGTTGAGTCCCAAAGGCTGAGTAAGAGTTTGCCAGGCAGAGAGGGGAGGGAAAGGCATTCCAGGCCCAGGGAGTGTCAGGCACAAAGGCCAGGTCTCAGAGAGCTGAGGGTCCGGGAGGTGGGGAGACACGCCATCCCACTGGTGGGCCATCATCGGGGAGTGATGAGGGTGGGAACCAGGATCAGAGGCTAGCGGGCCACAGCAGCTCTGCCTTACACGTTGGGCCAAAGAGTGAGCAACAGTCCTGTGTAGGATGCCAGGTATGAGATGGAGAAGGCATGAGGAGTCATAGGCACATACAGGAGAGATTTCATTGTAGACCAAGTAGCCATTGCTGCTGCAGGAGCCACCAGACAAAGCAGTTCTTCCAAGTAGCCCCACAAAGTGGCCCCACAAAGCAGCCAGCCCAGCTGGCTGGTCAGTGGCAACTTATATACACGCTCAAACAAAAGAGGCCTCGTGCCAATGAGTGATACACGCTCGTGCTACGTTAACATGAACAGGTTACATCCTCTCCTGCACAGCGTATGGCAAATTGGCCTTGACCGTCCGGCATACTCTGATTAGGGTTCTCACCTGAGGTTTGCTCGAACCAGGTGCAGAAGGCCACGCAGACCGGGAGGAAGAAGTTCAGGCACAGCTCCCGGGCCACACGGGAAGCACCAGGGCCGTCAGGAGGCAGGGCGGCACGGGGACAGCACGGACACCAGCCTGGATTGTGCTTCTGCAGGAGACAAGGAGGGCGCAGTGAACAGTTTGAGGTTGGCCAGTCTGGGTCAGGTTGGCAGGCTCGGGGCTACAGAGGGTCCCTCGTGGCCCCGGCCCTGGCCCCGGTGATTAAGGGCAGGGGCTTTTTAGGGGGTTATTGTGTGTGAATTAAAGAAAAGGGTGGGCCCTAACGGGTTTGGCTCAGTGGATAGAGCGTCGGCCTGTGGACTGAAGGGTCTCAGGATCAATTCCGGTCAAGGGCATGTACCTTGGTTGCGGGCACATCCCCAGTAGGAGATGTGCAGGAGGCAGCTGCTCGATGTTTCTCTCTCATTGATGTTTCTAGTTCTCTATCCCTCTCCCTTTCTCTCTGTAAGAAATCAATAAAATATATTTTTAAAAAAAAGAAGAAGAAGAGGGTGGTTGGGTGTCGGCTCTGGATAGCGTTGTTTGCACATCAAAGACATGCTCACAGGCCAGGTGTTTGCTATCTCTAGGAATCAGCAGCTCTGGGATGTCAACGCATCATAACACACAAAAACCACAAACCGTGATCAATACATCCTTCCCAGTGTGGCCAAGGACCCTTCCAAGCGGGTCTGTAGGGTCCTTCCCTTTTTAGCCACTTATCTGTGTGAGGCAGTTTCTCTTCACATACTTCCACCCAAACAACACACCACAACAGATTGCTGCGGAAGCAGACACGCACGGCCAGCTGTCTCCCGTGCAGCCAGACGCCACAGAGATTGACAACACTCCGCTCACTACATTCTGTCGTTGTTTTGGAAGATATAGCTATTTTTTATTAAAATGGTTATTTATATTAACGTACTGGGTTTAATATTGTTTTCAGCAACTAATATTAGTTATTTTAAAGTAACTAATAAATAAACGCTTTAAAATGTCCTCACATTTAGTTTCTAACATGATAAATATCAATAGCTATAATTCACATGAACCAAAGCTCTTTGGAATCCTCAAATTTTTTTTTTTTTAATCTTCACCCAAGGATATTTTTCCATTGATTTTTAGAGAGTGGAAGGGAGGGGGAGAGACAAAAAGAGAAAAACATCAATGTGAGAGGGACACATTGACTGGTTGCCTCCCACACAAGCCCTGACTAGGGTGGGGGATCGAGCCTGCAACCGAGGTATGTACCCTTGACCGGAATCGAACCCCAGACCTTTCAGGCCGCAGGCCAATGCTCTATCCACTGAGCCAAACCGGCGAGAAGTTCTGGAGGCCGGAAGTCCAAAACCAAGGCAGTGTCCGGTGAGAGCCCACATCCTGTTCACAGACAGCAGCTCGCTGTGTCCTCACATGGACGAAGAGCTCGCTCAGGAAATCTCAAGGGCTTGTGAGCACCTCCCTTCCCTCTGACAGCGCCGTGGGACCAGCTCTCCCAGGCCCACGGGGCTAAGTTCCGCTGAAACCAGTTAGCACTGGATCTGACCCTTCTGGTATTTGCCCCCTCGCCTGGCCCAGGTCCTGGCCATCCTGATGGACGTGTTCACGGACGTGGAGATCTTCTGTGACATCCTGGAGGCGGCCAACAAGCGCGGGGTGCTGGTCTGCGTGCTCCTGGACCAGGGAGGCGTGCCGCTCTTCCAGGAGATGTGTGACAAAGTGCAGGTCTCTGACCGGCACCTCAAGGTAGGGCCCCGAGGGGAGGCTCAAAGGCGCCTTGGACTGGAACAAGGCAGGCCAGGGCACGGCGATAGGTACCCACTGTGCCCGTGGCCTCACACAAAAGGTTTATTTCTTGCTCAAAGTGAAGGTCAGACAGCCCTCCCTCATCTTGTAGCTCCATGAGGTAGATGTGCCTTCAGGATTGCAGTGGCCAGAGAAAGGAGGTAGGGGGGTCCCACGGGATGAACTTGGAAGAGATTTTCACTTCCACTCATAGCCTTTCTTTAAAAAATACATTTTTATTGATTTCAGAGAGGAAGGGAGAGGGAGATAGAAACATCAATGCTGAGAGAGAATCATTGATCAGCTGCCTCCTGCACGCCCCACACTGGGGATGGAGCCCACAACCCGGGCATGTGCCCTAAATGGGAATCGAACAGTGACCTTCTGGTTCATGGGTAGATGCTCAACCACTGAGCCACGCCAGCCGGGCCCACTCACAGCCCTTTGACCTCCCTGAGCTGCCCGGGGCAGGAAGGCGGGGCAGCTGCTGAGCATCAGTCTCTGGCGCCTCTGCCTTCACTGCGTTCAGCTGAGGGAGCCCGTGGGCCCTCCGCCGCCTCAGGGTCAGGGCAACCTCGGCACCTGTGTGACTCCCGCCAGGAGGGAGGACAGCACCCTGTAGCCCCAACAGGAAGCTCGTCCCCTGGGGCTTAACCAACCTCCCCACCTCCTTCTTCTGGCAATGAGCAAAGAAACCGAGATAAGGTGCCCTCAGTGTTGACTTTGGGCAGCTAATTCAAGGTCAAATGTCCACGCGCCCGTGGCTCTGCAGCAGGCCCAGCTGAACAGCTGATGGCGCTCCCTTGGTGACTCCCCTGTAGCTCAGGCAGGGCCGCCTCCTGGAGGCCTGTCCTCCTCCCGTCCCCCTGCCTGTCCTCCTCCTGTCCCCTCCACGCTGACCGGCAGGCAGCTGAGTTCAGGCACCCCTGATGTCACAGGCCCCGGGCCTCTGATGGCTGGGTCTGCTTGATCTTACCTGGATTCCACCTGCTCAGCATGAGGCCATAGAAACAGGAGAGTCAGCACAGGCCTTGTCTTCATGGCTCACACAGGCCACACTCACAGCTCTCTGCCCACCAAGGGACAGTGGGAGGTGGCCCTCCTGCCGCAACCTCAGAGCTTAGAGGAGGCCGGAGGAGCTGGGGAGGCATTGGGCGTCCCCTCCCTGAGCCCGCCCAGCACAGCAGGTGTGCGCCTGGGCTCAGCAGTGCTCCGCCTTTCGCGCTGCCTTCATCTCTCCAGCCTTCCCAGGCTGCCATGCCCGCTGGCAGCAGGCGCTGCTGGGGAGGAAGGGGACAAACAGGACCAGGATTTGGGCGTGAACACACCTTTTTAAACTTATTTTTATTTATTTTTTAAAAATTTTTAATTTTTTAAAAATATATTTGTACTGATTTCAGAGAGGAAGGGAGAAGATAGAAACATCAACGAAGAGAGAGAATCATTGATTGGCTGCCTCCTGCACACCCCCTACCAGGGATCAAGGCCACAACCTGGACATGTGCCCTTGACTGGAATCGAACCCGGGACCCTTCAGTCCGCAGGCCGAGCCAAACCAGCTAGGCTAGGGCAACACATCTTTTTTTAGACAAAACAATGGAGGGTCCAGTGAGGTCTCCACACAGCTGCCTCCTCTGGCTGCACTGAGCCTTCGCACTGACGAGCTTGGGGTCAGGCACTCATGTCACTAAAGTCACTCGCAAGGCAAGCCTGCCCCTGCCAGACCTCCGTGGTCCATGGGAGCACCGACCCTCGGCTTCTATTTTCTGCTTTCTACCATCCCCCCTCCCTTTTTTTTCTTCTGTTACTTTGAGTATTGTCAGGACAATGAAGGCCATTTAGAGAATTCAGCCAAGGATAAAATAAAAATGGCCCATAGTCCCACCAGCTAGACACAACCCTGCTTCCGTGTTGGTGAGCACCCTTCCAGACTTTGTCCTGGGCAGATGTGTATCTATAAATACGTGATTGGCGAGCAACACCTCGACCTCCCTTCCAACAGAACATTTCCATCCGGAGTGTGGAAGCAGAGGTGTACTGCGCCAAATCAGGCAGGAAGTTCGCCGGCCAAGTCCAGGAGAAGTTCATCATCTCGGACTGGAGATACGTCCTTTCTGGATCATACAGGTGAGCGCTGGGTCCTGTTGAAGCTTCGTAGAGGCCAAGGCTGAGCGTGGTGCCCACCCACCTCAGGCGCTTGGGCACACCCCTGCCCCCACCAGCAGCTCCCAGGAGGGAGGACAGGCCTGAACAATGGGGGGGGGGGGGGATGGGCCTTCCTGGGAGGACTTCAGGGTAGAGAGTCACTTTCTGGTGCCTCAGTTTCCCTTGATATTGCAACAGGATATAGAATCCTTTTATTGCCTCCTCAGCTGTCTCAGATATGATTATAAAGCCATGCAATTTGTTTTAGCGTGTGTGTTCCCATTTTCAATTTTTTTAAATTTTATAAAAAATTTACTCCTTTAGCCAGCTTGGCTCAGGGGATAAAGCGTCAGCCTGCGGACTGAAGGGTCCCAGGTTCGATTCTGGCCAAGGGCACATGCCTGGGTTGCGAGCTCGATCCCCAGTAGGGGGCATGCAGGAGGCAGCCAATCAATGATTCTCTCTCATCATTGATGTTTCTATCTCTCCTTCTCCCTTCCTCTCTGAAATCAATAAAGAAATATATTTAAAAAAATTTACTGAGGCCCTAGCCAGTTGCTCAGTGGATAGAGCATCAGCCTGCAGACTGAAAGGTCTCAGGTTCAATTCCGGTCAAGGGCACATGCCCCGGTTGTGGGCCAACCCCCAGTAGGGGGCATGCAGGAGGCAGCCAATCAATGATTCTCTCTCATCATTGATGTTTCTATCTCTCTCTCCCTCTCCCTTCCTCTCTGAAATCAATAAAATATATATATTAAACATTTTATTGAGAGATAATTAATATGCTATATAATTCACCCATTTAGAGTAATTGCAATTCAATTCTTTTTGGCATTGCTTTCCTCATCTGTAAAATGAGGGATAACAATATCTTCCCTTGCAGATAAAGTTTGCAAAACATGTGGCATAGCTCCTAGCACATAGTAGGTGCTCAATAAATGATTGCTATTAGCCTGCCAGTACCCTCACAAGGCCCCGGGGGAGGGGGACATGGAATAGGCAGGATCTGAAAGGGTGAGGACTGAGAGGAGGCTGGTCCTGAGGGCCGCCAGGCCCCTGGAGGGATGTCACGTTGGCTGAGGAGGGGACGTGGTCCAGGGAAGACTGGAGGGCACCAAGACAGCCCCCCTCTCACTTCAGAATTGCCAGGGCTCGCTGAACGTCAGTGTCCTCAATAAACGACAAGCGCCACCCTCTGTGGCCCCCAACCACCAGCGTCCGGCCCCTTGTGCCGGAGCATCTCCAAATCCCCCGGGACCTACGGCTGGCGCCAGGGACTAGAAGCGGCAGCGGCCCAGCCTGGGAGTCAGACAGTTTAAGTTCGGTTCCCAGCTCTGTTTCTCAGGTTCCCTCAGCGCAAGCTGTTTCTTGTGTCAGAGTGACGTCTACTTTGAGATGGTATGTCCACACCCCTTCACCATTAGGCAGGCGCTCCCATGCCTCCTCTCAGCCCCTAGCAACCAGCCATGAGACTGGCAAGAGGCTTATTCAATCATTAAAAAGATTTCCAGACAGTTACAAAGGACAGAGGAAGGAATTCTGGGAGAGAAAACCAAGAGGGGGAACCTTACTTTCAGCAGGAGAACTAGCCTTAGTTCTCACTTCATTGTCCTTACAGAGCTCGGGTGGCCCTGCCCTTGGGGCCGGCAGGAAGCAGTCAACCCTGGCAGCTTTGTGCCAGGCCCCGGGGCAGGTGCGATCAGAGATCAGACCTGTAAGGGTTCAGAAAGGATTTAATACTCCTCACGCCCCTGAGGGAGGCAACACTCTTCTCATTGACAGATGGGGCCCTAAGGAGCAGAGGGGACAGGTGATTGGTCCCCAGTCCCCCGTGTCCTTGACTAGCATCTCCAGCTCTCGGTGCCCACCAAGGCCCAGCTGGGCGTGCCATCCTGACCCAGGCAGTGCCAGGAGGAGGGGCAGTGGGCTTCAAGATGCAGGGCCATCCCTGAGAACCTGGAGAATCGGCTCCGGGAGAGAGGGCAGGGCAATGTTCAAGGGTCATCTGTTAGCTATCAGGATCCTGTCCCCTGGGACCTTAGAGCTGTAGCCAATGAACACAAACAGGAAAGCCTTCACCCCATGTTTCAGCCTGGCTGTCCCTGGGCTCCAGTAGTCTGGCCCTTCTCTCTGGTTGTATTAGTTCTTCCGAACTGAAGAGCTCTTTCTGCCTCTATGGCCGAGGGGTGAGGGACCAGCACAAAAGCCTAGGGGGGCAGCGTGGGGACCTGGTCCGTTGCCAGGGCACCTTCGGACGTGTTTTACTGAGCAAAGCAGGTAGTTGTTGACCTCATCCAGCCTGACTCCAAACACAGGGCGTTAGAGTTCTTAGTGTAGCCAGGAGCCCCACTGTGCCTGCCTTTGCACCTCCCCTGCCACCTGGCTGGCCCTAAGCTCAGCCTCAGCTGCTCATCAACCTGGGGCTGAGTGGGCGGCTCCTGGGCGGGAGGTGAGGCTAAAACAAAGCCTCCTTGTTCTTCCCAGAATTGCCCAGCCTCTGTGGGCCCGCCCTGCCTTCTGTTGGCAAGGCCGCGGGCTGGGGGCTGGAGGCTGAGGCCCCTGGTGGGCACCGTCCCTCAGGGTGCCCTGCCCTCTGACCACCCAGCCCCCAGCGCGTCCACACCCCGTTCACATGATTAGGGACGCAGGGATCTCTGACCTGATGCTCTTGGTGGGTCGTCTGTGTTGTCACCATTTTCAAGGGGTTTTTTTGGGGCGGGATATAGGGGGAAGGACGTGATGAGGGGAGTTTTCATCAAAAATAGAAAGGAATTTCGCCCGGCCTATGTGGCTCAGTGGTTGAGCATCGACCTATGAACCAGGAGGTCACTGTCCGACTCCCGGTCAGGGTTCATGCCCAGGTTGTGGGCTCCATCCCCAGTGCGGGGCGTGCGGGATGGTTCTCTCTCATCATTGATGTTTCTATCTCTCTCTCCCTCTCCCTTCCTCTCTGAAATCTATAAAAAAGATATTTTTTAAAATAGAAAGAAATTTGGTTAAATCAGGGAATTATAGAAAGTCATACCTAAATGCCTTGAGCATTTTGTTTTCTCCTAAAACCTGTAATGGACGGAGGGCCAAGACCTTTGCTTGAGGGTGTCCTGTCCTGGGTGTCCCAGCAAACCCTCCGGACGCCCGGTTCCTGCGGGCTCGCCCTGGGTTCCCCTTTCCATCTGCCAAGGGGCCCAGGGTTCCCTCTCCCCTCCCGCCCCTCTGGGTCCACCTGCCTAAAAATGGGCCTACACCCTCTAGATCAGTGGTTCTCAACCTTGGCTGCACATTAGAATCACCTGGGAATCTTTTTAAAATCCTGATTTCTGGGCCTCATCCTCCGGAAATTCTGTTTCTTTATTACTAATGTTGTGGCCCCACCCCATAAAAAAGAAACAGAATTTCCGGAGGATGAGGCGCAGAAATCAGGATTTTTTTTTTTGAAATATTTTATTGATTTTTTACAGAGAGGAAGGGAGAGGGATACAGAGTTAAAAATATCAATGAGAGAGAAACATCGACCAGCTGCCTCCTGCACACCCCCCACTGGGGATGTGCCCGAAACCAAGGTACATGCCCTTGACTAGAATCGAACCTGGGACCCTTCAGTCCGCAGGCCGACGCTCTATCCACTGAGCCAAACCGATCAGGGCCAGAAATCAGGATTTGAAAAAGATTCCCAGGTGATTCTAATGTGCAGACAAGGTTGAGAACCACTGCTCTAGATTGTCATGATCATACAGCCGCTGCCTTCCGAGGATCTGCCTTCTCAGCCCCCGCACCCTCTCGCGGGGATCTGGGGATCGGCTAAGGGGCCGTAATCTGAGCAGCAGGAGGAACCCTGACTCGAGGCCAGAAAGTCGCTCTGGCAACTTCCTCACTAGCCAGCCCACATTCGACATTGGCTGGACGGGGAGCTCCAGTTTTGCCTTTTGTGAAAGGGGCACCACTGTCCCTCCAGGGCTTCTGCAGGGTGACATGAGGCAGCACAGGGGGCAGAGGGCGGGATCCCCTCCTTCCAGTCCTGCTGTTGCCCCCACAGCCCCCGGAGGAAGGTCCCGGTGGCCCCATTCCCACCCTCCCCCTCTCTCCTCCCCGCAGCTTCACCTGGCTCTGCGGACACGTCCACCGGAACATCCTCTCCAAGTTCACGGGCCAGGCCGTGGCGCTGTTTGACCAGGAGTTCCGCCACCTCTACGCCGCCTCCCAGCCCGTGATGGGCCTGAAGTGCCCCAGGCTGGTGGCGCCCCTCCCGCCCAGAGCGGGACGCAGCCCCCCGCCCGGCCGCCTCAGTGGCAGCAGCTGCTCTGCCAGTGGCCGCCTGTCCTCCAACCCCTTCAGCAGCCCCTCGACGGGGAGCAACCCCCAGAACCGGAGTCTGTCCGTGTCCTCAGGGCCCAGCAGCCCACCGGCCCCCAACCCACCTCCGCCCCCCAGGTTTCAGCTCTACCAGGGCCTCTGGGGGGCCCTGGCCCCACAGGCCCACTTCTGCCTGAGGCCCCAGGACAGCCCACTCGCTCTGTACAGCAAACTCGGCGCCTGCAGGCCCCCGCGGCTGCAGCTGGAGCAGCTGGGCCTGCTGCCCAGGGCGCCCCATGTCTGGAGGCCGTTCCTGCAGGCCTCCCCTCGTTTCTGAAGGCCCCCCCCCCCAAGCTGCCCTCCCAGGACTCCTGGGGACCCGCCTCAACGACGGGCAGCTTTGCTTCCCGTAGAACTAAAGGCACCTGGACAACACTGGTGCCTGTTCGAATGTTCTCAGGCCTGAGAGCGTTCACTTGCCGACCCCACCAGTCCTGGGTTCCCCTCTCTAGTTTGGGCTACGCAGCACATTCCAGAAGGTTCCAGGGTGACGGGGTGGGGAACTAGAGGACAAGATAGTCAAAGTAGGGCCCTTTCTTCTAAAGAGCAGCCAGTGCTTCCACATGACCGTTCTTTGACTCGCTGGGATGTGAGGGCAGATGCAGCCACGTTTCATAGATGGGTAAACGGGCACCGAGCAGCAGAGGGTGAGTGTGGCCAAGGTGCTCCATTTCCCAGTTCACAGGAACAGTCCTCTCCCCAGAGATTCCGGAGAGAGATCGGGAGAAGGCCTGGGAACATTCTGGGTGTTTCTGGGAGGGGGGACAACTCCTGCTCCCTGAAAGGCGGAAGACGGGGTATCCCTGGGCCCGATGACGTAGGGATGAGGCCCCACAACTGCCGCTGTAAGCCGTGTGGGGCCGGTGGAGACTACAGCGGCAGAGATGGGGCAGGCCAGGGCGTCCCAGGGATCGCGGTGGGCAAGGCAGCTTGGCAGCTCCGTGCTGCATCACTTCCAGGCTGACGCTCCCAGAGCATCCAGAGCGTCCAGAGCAGATGCAGTTGGCCTCAAGGTGGAGGCTCCTCCAGGGGGCCAGGTTCCTAAGAGACTGTGATGAGCAGCCCCGCCACTCCTCCCCACTCACCCGCAATGGATAAGCAATATGAGCAAGAAATAAACCTTTGTCATTCAAGCCACTGAGACTGGGGTTGTTTGTTACTGCACCATGACCCAGCTTCGCCTGACAGATACAGCCTTGGGAGTCGAGGCTGGGCATTCCCTGGTGGGACTGGATTCCCAAGGGTCCCCAGCCTTGGGCCCTTGTCCAGACGGTATGTCCACCAGGAGACCAGGAGGGTTTTACACACCTGGCGAGGAGGTGGCTGAAGGCCAGAGCACGTCCTTTTCCAAGTTCCCAGTCCTCCCAAACCCACCTGTAGTTCCGCTCGGGCTAGAGTCACCGCTGCACCCGCCCTGGCAGCCTGCTCGCTGGGGGCCATCCTGAGACACCCACCGTCTCTACTGCGAGTGAAATTAAACAACAGCAATGGGCTGCCCACCGAGTTCCAGGCACAGCCACAGGCGGAGACCCAGACTCAGATGTGCCTGGAGAATTCCCGTCAGCTGCAGGTGACACCCACGTGAACCCGCACCATGCAGCACGAGGAAAGAAATCTGTGATCGTCCTGTGTGGGGGCCAGGGGGATGGGGGGCTTCATTTATGGCCAAACACATACCCCACGCCAGCGATTAGGGATCACATTACCCACCTGGAGGACTGACAAAGGAAGTGTTGACTGCTAATGAGCCACCCTGCCCCCAAGCCTCTCTCCTAGAAATTACCTGCAGTATTCATTTGGTCCTCATCAGATACCATTTTTAAAAATCTCTGTATCAAAAAATAAAAATAAAAACCTCTATCTGCACTGCAAGAGCCCCGAGGCCAAGGGTATCTTGCAGGCTCCAAGGCACCCTAACAACAGGGCCTTGGACGTCCCAGGGCAGTGAACGCTACCTGACTGCTCCGGCACGGGGGCTAACGTTCGGACACCCAGCACCTTTACTACCCCCACCCCATGCCTCCAGCTTGCTCCCCGCTGGCTATCACAGAAGTGCAGTCAATGAGAAAACTAAAAGCTGGGACAATATTTGATGAAGCTTTCGGTTTATTAAATTCCACTTCTCTGAGGGAGCTCATCCACCCCAGGTAGGTCGAGTGAGGTAATGGCCCCTCTGCTGAAGGTGATGTGTAGAGTGTGATTGTAATTTGTGTGGCTGGAAGGGCAGGACCATGTCCCTGTGAGACAGTGCTCCACGGGCCCATATGTGTCACCCCCTTGGGACTGGGAGGCAAGAGAAGTGATGTAAGTGGGCTGAAGCTTACACTGCTGGCTGGGCCACCAACAATAAACTCTTCTGCAGCATCCATTAAACTGACCTTGACATGCCCTTCAACAAACTTGGTCATCCCTGATGAATTTACCGAAACAAAGTGAATACTTACGCTACTGTTTTTAAAAGACTATAAAATCTAGCCCAGCCTGTGTGGCTTAGTGGTTGAGCATTGATCTATGAACCAGAAGGTCCGATTCCCGGTCAGGGCACATAGCCAGGTTGCAGGCTCGATCCCCAGTGTGGGGCGTGCAGGAGGCAGCTGATCAATGATTCTCATCATTGATGTTTCTATCTCTCTCTCCCTCTCCCTTCCTCTCTAAATTAATAAAAATATATTTAAAAAGATTAAAAGACTATAAAATCTAAAAGCCTCTTTTATACACTCTCCCAACAGATAACTTCTAAAGGGGTAGGAGGCTAAGATAGGTGAATGGCAAAAATCCAAGAAATGGAACACAATAGAAAGAACCTGGGAGATAAGCCATTTTTATAAAGCAAATAATCATGTTTGATTCACTCTACTTCATGGTTAGCAGTGGATTCTCTCTGAAGTAAAGGATAGTTAACACAGGACCAGATGTCTTATTAAAAAATATTTTTATTGATTTAGGAGAGAGAGAGGGAGAGATAGAAATATCAATGATGAAAGAGAATTACTGATCAGCTGCCTCCTGCACGCCTCACACTGGGGATCAAGCCTGCAACCAGGCACGTGCCCCTGACTGGAATCGAACCCAGGACCCTTCAGTCTGCAGGCTGACGCTCGATCCACTGAGCCAAACCAGCTAGGGCCAGATGTTTGTTTTTAAGTAGAGATTTGCATCTGTGTATGGAACTGGTTTTCAAAGGAGCAGAAGTGGTCTTTGATCTTTCGGAACCACTTGTCTTCAAATTCTTCCGAAGATGCAATCACCAAGGCGGCCAGGGCTGCAGGGCCCACACACTTCACCTCGCTGTGAACCTCGTCTTTTATTTTTTCTGGAACGATATCTTCTCCCATAACCTGCAGGAGGGAAAGAAGCCAATAAAAGGGGCCCAAGCCGTGGCACGCAGGACCACGCCAGTCTGTGGCGTAAAGGATTTCATGCAAGCAGGACTCCTTCTGCAGTGCGGGGACAATTCCAACGGTTCCAACATTTCGAAAAGATGTCTGACAGAAGCAGCGATTGAGGACCCCATGGGTAAAATATCACCCCGTTTCCGGTCTCATCCTTCCCGAGTGAACCAGTCGCAGAAGTGCTAATGTGGCAGCGGAACTGGTCAAGACACAGGAAGCCGAGTCACCTCCTCATAGCTGAGAGCATCTTCTCTTGGCACAAATGCAACTGCGAGGGACCCTCCCTCCTTGTACAATGACTGAAGAGCAGGGCTTGGGCAAGATATAACTGCTGGGGGGACCACACAGATTCTTTCTCTTAGAAGTTCTCCAAAGAAGTCAAAGCAAGTAGCTTGGCCCACCCTTTCCTGACCCAGAGAGACTCAATCCTTCCAGAAATGGTACCACAGCAACCTCTGAGAGTTAAGAAGCGGCTGGCCCTCTGAAGGCACAATACTGCTCCCTACTGGTCAGAATCAGGTTCAGATTCTGCATTAGTTTCTCTTTGATAAAACACCAGGAAGATTAAGATATGTTCTTGCTTGGGGGTGGGGTGGGGGCGGGGGGAGGGAGAGAAAGAGCTATCTATTCAAGCCATCATTCTATCCGAGCTCAGATGAGGGAGAAGCTGCCACAGAACAGGACGCGCTGGGAAAGGTGCCTAGAGGACATGGATTCTGGCTGGGTCTTTGAGGACAGGAACAGCGAGGAGGTGGAGATGGGAAACCCATGGCAGATTCATTAGATACAGGCAGATCAGTTTAGTGCAGCGGTTCTCAACCTGTGGGTCCCGACCCCTTTGGGGGTCGAACGACCCTTTCACAGGGGTCAATTAAGACCATCAGAAAACGCATATATAATTACATATTGTTTTTGTGATTAATCACTATGCTTTAATTATGTTCAATTTGTAGCAATGAAATTGGGAGTCACTACAACATGAGGAACTGTATTAAAGGGTCGCGGCATTAGGAAGGTTGAGAACCACTGGTCTAGTGGAAGCAAAGACTTGTGTAAGGAATCACTAGGTCAGAAGTTTGGGGTTACTCTCTGTAAGGCCTTGGACATCATTATCAAGGCTGTAAACTAGACCTGATACATTTTCATTTTAAGCAAGCAGGTAACATGGTCAAAGCAATGTTTGTTTTTTTCAATCTTATTTTTCAATTATACTTGACATTCAGTATTATTTTACACTAGTTCAGGTGTACAGCATAGTGGTTAGACAAGTACATAATTTATGAAGTGATCCCCCAATAAGTCTAGTACCGACCAGCACCATACATAGTTCTTGCATATTATTGACTCCATTTCCTGTGCTGTACTCACAAACCAGTGACTGTTCTGTAACTACCAGTCTGCACTTCTCAATCCCTCCCCCCTTTTCACCCAGTCCTCCAAGCACTGTTTTAAGATGAACTCAGCAGCAACGTTCAAGACAGATCTGAGGGGAGAAGGTAAGGAAGCAAGGCAGGATGAGCCGGAGGTCGCTGTGAGAGTCAACCGTGAGTTGGTAAGGACTGCGGTGCGATTGGTGAAGAGAAATGAAAAGGCGGACCCTGAAGAAAGGGTGGGCTTGGTGCCTGGCTAGAGGTGAGAACAGAGGATGCGGTTGTGAGGTTCCAGGTCTGGATAAAAAAAGAATGACAGACGGGATCAATGGAAAAAATTAAGTCTAAGGAAGAGATGGTTCTCTCCAACTCCCCTGTGATTCTTCTCCACAAATACTTGCTGTCGGCCAAGGCTGGGAAAGGCACTCCGTATGCTAGGCACTGGTGGAAGGTGGGAAGTGTTTTGGTGAGCAGTTCCATTTTAGACATTCTGTAGCTGAAGTGACAGCAGAATAATCAATAACCATCTCAGATTAACTTCTCAGTAGGTAATTACTCTGAGATGTGAGACAAGCGCTCCAGAGCAGGGAGCAGAGACCCAACAGACTGGAGGGTCAGCAGCCCCGAGGCAACCACTGAGCTATGGTGTGGTTATGAGGTTATGCCTGCTGGGGGAGGAAGGCAGAGGGAACGGAGAACCTAAGTGACACCTGGGAGAATGCATTACTTAGGCCTTGGAGGAAGCTGGTGGTATCTCAAGAGGCAGAGGGATAGTAAGAAATAGTGCAGCCTCTCAGAGCAAAGGGAAGAGGAAACCGAAAGTGACTGGTCCACAGCTACGTATCTACGGCAATCAGACGGAGGAAAGGCTACGGTCGGCTCAGGAGGGACAGGGTGCCTGGCATGTCTGTGGGCTCAAGGGAAAGAGCCCAGAGGAGGGGGAAGGTTGAAAAAGGCTCAGAGACAAGACAGGAGAGTGTGATCCCAGAATAGGGAAAAGGAGTCAAGGGGGAGCTTAGTTTGGGGAAGAGAGAAAGGAGCCAGGCAATCATAGATTAGCAGTAAGCATTTTTTTTAAAATATACTTTTATTGATTTCAGAGAGGAAGGGAGAGGGAGAGGAGATAGAAACATCAATGATGAGAGAGAATCACTGATTGGCTGCCTCCTGCATGCCCCCACTGGGGACCAAGCCCACAACCCGGGCATGTGCCCTTGACGGGAATCGATCCCAGGACCTTTCCGTCCACAGGCCCATGCTCTACCCACTGAGCCAAACCAACCAGGGCATGCAGTACGCATTTCTTTTTCTTTTTTTATTTAATATATTTTATTCACTTTTTACAGAGAGGAAGAGAGAGAGAGATAGTTAGAAA